TTCCATTTTACCTCTTTATGAAAGTTGTATCAATATTTTTAACTCTTTCAGAATGATACTTTAACATTCTGATAATTTTCATTAGCTCTCAAGATCATCCTATGTTCTAGTGAACTTACCTAATGAAACTTAGTTCATTGGTAAATAATCTTATATGCTTACTTCAAAATCTGATACATCACATGGATGATTTGCCTTTCCTGTTTTCTATAACCACATCACCCCTACCTCCTATCCAAGTCATTACATGGCCGATTCTTATTTTTTAATAGGTCCCAATCCATGCTTGGCCTTCATGACTTTGTAACAAGTTATTTGTGAAAGTTAGCTTTGCTAAAACTACTTAATAAGGCATTACACAATTAGAAAAATATTTAATAGGTGAAATTTCTTTTCCTCTATCCTTATCACTCTGAAAGTAGCCAAAATATAGTACAAGGCTTTACATTTATAATACACTGAGTTCAACAGAGAGAAAAATATTCTGAATGTCCCAATGAAGGGTTCAATTAAATAAAAAATAATGGCACCCATAAGTCATAATATCATTAAAAGTTATGCTACAAAAAATTTTTTGTAAGAAAAAAACTGAAATAGATCATAGACAATAGTTTTTTTTTTTAAACAATAATTATTCTTCTTTTTGCTACTATAATATGACACTTTCCAAGAATGACAGCAAGTTTCTGAACATTCATAGGCTTCATTTTTTCTTAAGGAAATCTTTTCTTCTAGCTAAAGCCAAGTGTTTCTTCATTATTCATATCTCCATTAAAGGAGAACCATAATAAAAGAAAAAAGAAGCATTTCTAAACATTATTTTGTATGATTAGAATGTTCTATAATTTGGTATTATTTCTTATTCATCCTTTTATGCAAGCTTATTGTTATTTTTAGCAATTTTATTCTAAAAGATAGATGAAACACTGACATTAAATAAATGAAATGAGAAAAATTGGTAAGGTTGCATAATAGAGTTTAAGTATATCATTTCATCCACTTGCTGAATAAATAAAATATCAGTACACATTGCCAACAAACACATGAAAGGATGCTCAACATCACTAATCATTAGAGAAATGCAAATCAAAACTACAATGAGGATCACCTCACACCAGTCAGAATGGCCGTTGTCAAAAAATCTGCAAACAATAAATGCTGGAGAGGGTGTGGAGAAAAGGGAACTCTCTTGAACTGTTGGTGGGAATGTAAATTGATACAGCCACTATAGAGAACAGTATGGAGGTTCCTTAAAAAACTAAAAATAGAACTACCAAATGACCCAGCAATCCCACTACTGGGCATATACGTTGAGAAAACCATAATTTAAAAAGAGACATGTACCACAATGTTCATTGCAGCCCTATTTACAATAGCCAGGACATGGAAGCAATCTAAGGGTCCACTGACAGACGAATGGGTAAAGAAGATGTGGCACATATATACAATGAAATACTATTCAGGCATAAAGAAACGAAATTGAGTTATTTGTGGTGAGGTGGACGGACCTAGAGTCTGTCATACAAAGTGAAGTAAGTCAGAAAGAGAAAAACAAATACCATATGGTAACACATATATATGGAATCTAAAAAAAAAAAAAATTGGTTCAGATGAACCTAGGGGCAGGACAGGAATAAAGACGCAGACAAAGATAATGGACTTGAGGACACGGGGAGGGGGAAGGGTAAGCTGGGACAAAGTGAGAGAGTAGCGTTGACATATATACACTACCAAATGTAAAATAGCTAGTAGGAAGCAGCCGCATAGCACAGGGATATCAGCTCGGTGCTTTGTGACCACTTAGAGGGGTGGGATAGGGAGGGTGGGAGGGAGACGCAAGAGGGAGGGAATATGGGGATATATGTATTATGTATAGCTGATTCAGTTTGTTATAAAGCAGAAACTAACACACCATTGTAAAGCAAGTATACTCCAATAAAAATTTTAAAAAAAAAGATAGACTCAAAAAAATAAATAAAAATAAATAAAATATCAGTGTTGGCTAACATAATGTAGAAAATTGATGATATTCTTTCTTCACTGTCATTGGTAAATAATAGAGAATATAGTCAAAGGGGAAGGAAATAAGATGACACAAACTTCTGTTCTTAGTGACATTTCCTGCAATATGGCATTTAAGTTAGAAAAGTAAAATCCTGTTCATCTGAATGTTACATTTTCTGTAAAAGTTTCTGATAAACACTAAAAATAAAGCTTAATCATTTAGTTCCTATTCATGTTCCAACGGTCTTCCCTCAAGCTTACATTTATGGTTAGTTTTCCTTAAAAATAAAATGAGTTTGTGCCAGATCAACCATCATGGATTTAGATGCCTTTAGATATTAGCTAGCATAAGCTAATTTTTTTAAAAAATTGAGGTCAGATTTGGTTGGCCCAAGGTCACACTGATATATCGCTTATTGTCTACTAGTGGCATTTGCTGAACGTTGCCTTAGGCTACATTTTTAGTATTCCCTCTGGCATGCTGAGATTAGATGTGACATTTCTTGGCCAGAATAAAACACAAGGTCGATTCTAAAGACTATAATACTATATTTTTTCCCTGCAACTTCGCATTTGCTTATCTACAGTACACAGCAGTTAGTTTTAAAGCGTGGGACTTATGAACCACTACTGGCACATGCTAAATCCTTCTCCTTACAGGATGCCTCCCCACACTGTCCCAGCATGTATAACTATCTCCTGAACCCTCAGCAAAATCCCTGAGAAAATAACCACAGCGGAGGTCAGAATGCTCCAGCTCCTACTGTAAGAGGTTGAGGGAATTTATCCTCCCACTGCCTGGGGAAGGTGACAGTTTCATCAAGAAAATCTCCCACTGAGATAATGTTATAAAGGATGATTGGCATATGTAAATCTATGAGGACTATTATTCAACTCTATTATGAGTTAAAAAGATTTTGTAGAACACCAAATAATTATCAATTATTTATAAAAGTACTTAGGAAAGAAAACCCGTTGGTAAGTTTGTAATAGGAAGAACAATTTTGAAACGTCATGAATTTTGCTTAATATTTTATTTTTCTTCCTAAAGCCTTAGAAGAAAAAGTAATAATAATAATAATAATAAAAACCCACCTTTGGCCTGAAAGCCAGCTTTGCTCTCATAATCACCCTGTTGTATCCACTTACCCTGACTAAAGTCAATTAGTAAATGAAAATATGAATATGTACTTGAATTTCTCTCTGAATGAAATGCAAGGCTTGTAAAATTCAAGCATTTTTCTCAAGCAAACATGTATATACTTAGTAGTTTAAAAAAAATCTTTAAAATGACTAATAATCTCCAATACAAAGAAAACTGTCAGTTTAAAAATTAAAATACAATTATAATTACTTTTCTTGGTATGGCTATTGGTACTGAGCTACATGGCACAATAAAATATACTAAATGTGCAGTTATGAGTTTCCTTCATTTTAAACTAGGTCTTATCTAGAAAGGCACACCTAGAGGTGGGTTTATGATCCTGATTACAGGATTGTATTTATCAGTAATTCAGATAATCTGAAAACTTGAAAACAATACTCTCACTCTTGATTTAAATATTATCTACAAACAACAAATAACTATTAGGAGAAACTCAACAAGAGGCCAATAAGTACCTATTTCCTTCTGTATGTAGCTCTCTGTCTGGGTTGGTATCTAGGAAATGCTGCTCTATGCTGAAGGAGCCTAAGCTATGCTACTTCAACTCTCTGTGTGAAATAAAGTGACTGTCAATATCTGGGTTGAAGCTACAGAGCACAGATAGCTCTTTGTATCTATAAGGGATGCAATGAGCTGTCCAAGCTAACTCAGCAGAGAGAACATTTACTAACAAAATGATTGTAGAGAACCATTGACTTGATGGATGTCTGGGACGGTGTAGAATGGAGGCGCCCAGGACGAAAATGGGAGCAGATTTGAAAGCCTTTAACAGGCTCCTCTTACCCATCCTAGTGTGGTTTATTAGCATGACACAGGCTCCCTGTTTTCTCTCTCTTTAATGATACTGTTCTATGAACCAATGAATGTTTTCATTTGGAAAATAAGAAAGCTCTGACATGTTATCTGGACTGTGGTTTCTTTAGTGATGCCAAGGGAATAAATACGTTAATTCTGTGCTTTAAGGAATGTATTGGGTAAGGCCCGTTACTTCACTGATTTCAGTGCATACTAGGCCCAGGTGAGAAAAAGTTAATATTACACACCTTGGAATATTTCTTTTTGCAAATGTTTGACTTAGAAAATGGAGAATTTCAGTGACACTTGGATATACTTTTAGATGGTGATTTTCAGATTACATTCTCCCAAGTTTAACTCATCATTTGTTAATTACGATACCTGAAGCAATTGACCTCAAGCTACTGCTTGATTCTTCATAAAAGAAGCAATTACTATGAAAAGCTACCACATAAATCTTGAAATATTCACAAAAATCTTACACAAATAATATTTTCATAGAGAAATGAAAGACCGTGTTCTTCACATACACGCAAACGTACAAAAAGACATTCCTCGAGGAAATAGTCGTTTCTTGGCACACCGGGGCTTTAACAGCAGCAGTGCCAACTGGAAAGAGTCTTCCCTGGCTTTAAAACTGGAACGAAACAACTCTCAACATCTGCAAAACATTCCTTTATTATTAGAAATAAATTATTTGTATAAAAAATTGCATGCGTCAACCATTGCATTTATTTTTTAGCACAACCCAGGGCTTCAACCTGGTCAGCCATTACAAGAAACAGACTCACTGTCTTATACAAGTTGAACAATGTGGGACAGGAACGGGAGTTCTCACAATCACAGAAAAATACTTACAAGAATAACATCAGACATGGTTTATTTCAACAGCATTTTTTTTTTTCACAAGCTAACGTTAGTTTTCCCTTTGTGATTTTTTTTTTTTTTAACTGCTCATGAGTAGGCAATACTTTAGCTTGACACTCATTGGTTGTATTATATAAAATGGGTTTCTTCACTCCCTGTTATTGATACTTTGGGCTTGTGGCTAGTTTTTGTTCCTTACAAGATTGACTATTGATTTGATTGATTGTAGTCTACAGAGATCTCCAGGAGTGAGTGTCGGTGGTGTCACGTTCATCGTTTAAGATCGCATACCACATTTCTTCATATTGTATCATTTCCCTGTTTCAGACTGAATGATTGCTGTAGCCGATATATGTCGTCTTGGTAGAGGAAGCTGTTAAGACAAATTATAGTACAGAATAATAAATTAGTTTGTTAAACTGATTTTAAAATTCAAATATTGCAATGACTTTTTATGATATGTGGTCTTTACAACCTGTTACTTATTATTTTAAACAGTGTAGTAGGATTTCAACAATTGTAGAAATAAAAATGCAGCAGAGTTTTTAATCTATAAAACCACTAGCCTCATTTATAGTGTAGACATTTGGCAGAAAACTAAAAATGTGAATGCCCTGGTCTTTAATATATTTAGGTGAAATTCAATTTAAATGTGCATTTTGACTAACAGATTTACAATATAAAAAATGAAAGAACAGATGAAATTCTCTATCCTGCAAAATGAAAAAAGAATTTTTTCTTACAACCCACGTTAAAGACCTCAATTCTTTGAGTCTGATTTGATGACCAAGAAAGGGTTAGTCATTATAATTAGTCATGCTTTGAGAATGAATATATCTTCCATTTAAAAATAGTACTTTTAGACTCTAGAAGTGAACACAGTACAATATCAATGTGTATTGCCAACACATGTTTATGGTCTGGTTTCATCCAAAGGATACAAATGGAGATGTTTAAAAAATAAATAAAGACTCAAAGAAGGAACTTATCATGAACTAAACCCATTATTGTAAGATTATTAGAAAAGTATGAACAAGAAAATATTCTAAGTCTAAATGTTCTAATTCTAAATATTTCTAAGTCTAAACTTAGAAAATATTCTAAGTTTAAGTATATTCATACTTAAATTTCCAGAAATACAAATCTAAATCCAAATAATTACTTTGCATTTTTGAAAGATGTGATGGAATAAATCTGTTTTAAAATTCAAAAGTGATATCTTATTTTTTTCAGTGGAACTCTGGAATGAAAAATCATAAGAAGAAAGAAGAAAAAGTGCAAAACGTATGTATTTCACTATATAAATTCAATTCAGGGTGAAACAGATTTTTAGAGAATAATTTACTTTTGAACATTGAATAAGGAAATTGTAAAGTTTCTTCTCTGAAATAATTGGCAGTTAGACTCATTCCATTGTAGTGTACATGAATACTGGTAATTGACCAGACAAGTTCTTACCAGAGACCAGGATCAGACAAAGTCCACAGTCACTAAAATTAATACAGGGAGCCCAGGAAGTGCTAGCTGTAGAGGTTTTTGCTGTTTTTTATTTCACTGAATATTATGAGCTTCATGCCAAAAACAGGTGGGACATATCTGCGTATCTTTCTATGTTGCTCACCTTAGGTTATTATTGAGGGACAGTGGAAAGGAAGTAGATCTTAGACTTTTTTTTTGAATAGATCTCTATTGGAGTACAATTGCTTCACACTACTGTGTTAGTTTCTGTTATACACCAGTAGACTTGGTTTTAAATTGCATTCTCTTCTCTACAAAATGAGTGAAAAAACGTCACTGAACCAGGTTATGGGGCCTCAGCTTCATCACTGGTCCACAATCCACAACATTGTGTTTTTGTGAGGATGGAGGCACAGTAGATTTGTGGGGAATGGCTGTTGTCTTAGAGAGTCCATATGGAATGCTACTTTTCTATTTATGCTTCTAAAAGGTAGGGTGTCTTTTACCTTTGGTTTGGTGTGAAGTGAAACACAGTGATTTTTATGGTCTTTATTTTTAAATTTATATAATGCTCTCATATGCCTCTAAATATATTCTAAGAAAATGAAATCTGTGCTTCAACTATGCTTTTGAAAGACTTTCATATGATCTTTGTAGACAAGATGGAGAAAAATTATGAGTTAGAAAAACGACCCTTTAAAAGATTGCTCAACTTCCTGCCCTATTCAGTATATTTAACAGTAACTAAAAATGTGAGAAATATCTACCAAATTTGCAGATAGCTAGAAAGAAAAATTATGGTTGTAACAGAGGAACAAGAGCCTAAAGACCTTAACGAAGATGATATTCAGATGTTAATCTTCAAGGATCATTCCAACTTCAAGACTCTAAAGCTTTTTAGAAATTATTTCATTGTTTGAACTCTTAGAAGTAACCTCCAGGGAAAAAGATGTAGAATTCTATTGAGAACTAAGACTATAATTTACAAAAAGAAAGTAATCTTAATTTTTCTGATCAGAAGAAGGATGTAAGGCTTTGGAAACATAATTTAGTCAACACTGAAACGATGTGAATGGCAGATATCTTGCAAGAATCTTCCATTTTTTTCTTCCAAGAAGAAAGAAAGATGGATGCTAAAATAATAGAGTTTTTGAATTTTAAGTCTTATCTTTTCTATTAATCACAGACCAATCTAGATTTTGTGGGTTAGGTTCCAGACCACTGCAATACAGTGAATATCACAATAAAGCAAGTCACATGAAATTTTTTTGTTTCTCAGTGCATATAAAAGTTATGTCTACACTATCCAGTAGTCTAGGTGTGTGATAGCCTTATGCCTAAAAACACAATGGACATACCTAAATTAGACAAAAATACTTCATTGCTAAAAAATGCTAACCATCATCTGACAATGCAGGGTTGTCAGAAATGCTCACTTTTGAAAAAAATGCAGTATCTGGGAAATGCAATAGAGTGAAGCACAGTAGAACGAGGTATGTCTGCATATTTTCATGGCAGCAGTGATACTTTTACCTTTATCCCAGAAGTGTTACAGAACAAAAGGGATCGGAGATGGACATACAAGCTAATGTAATACTTCCGCTGATGAATGTGCTTATGTGAAAGTCAGGCTTGAATACAGCAACAGTGAATTTCCTGTGCACACCACACTGTGTTCATAAGCTAGAGAAAGGAGATCTACCTCCAGAAGCAGCTGTTTTCATGAATTATGCATGAATAGAGCTTAAGGAATACCGTGTTACAGCATTCGTTAATTGGGTACCGTTGATAAAATTCATATATACCAACTTTGTTTCTAACTCTCTTTCCACACTTGTATGAAACAACACTTGACCTTTTTATGTGTGAAATGTAGTGTTCTGCAAATTCAGTCATTAACATGGAGTCATTTGGTCTCCCTTCTAGCTTCACATTGCTTTTATTTATTCTGTGTACCATTAGAAGCTTTCCTTAAATATGTGATCAGAATTTCTGGCATTAACAAGTCATCTTTAAGATGAAATTTCTAAGAATGATGGACTTGTAGAACTCCACAGCTATGAAAGAAAAACATTGCATGCATATCATAAATACAGTTAATTGGTCAGAAAAAAAATCCTGAGTGTAGCATAGTAGCCATAATTATCAAAATCCTCCACATATTAAAAAAAGGGAGAGACTTCCCTGGCGGTCCAGTGTTTAAGACTTTGCCTTCCAATGCAGGGAGTGTGGGTTCAATCTCTGGTCGGGGAGCTAAGATCCCACATGCCTCGGGGCCAAAAAAACCAAAACATAAAACAGAAGCAATATTGTAACAAATTCGATAAAGACTTTAAAAAAAATGGTCCACATCAAAAAAAAAATCTTTAAAAAAGAGGATGCTAAAAAAATAGTTTTTGAATTTTGTCTTCTTTTTTGTTACTCACAAACCAATCTATATTTTCATGGGAGCAATGATACATTTACCTTTATATAGTGATTTATAGTTTACAAAACACTGTCCTGTACGTCATTGTCAAGTCATTGTGGTAGTGGTGATTTATCAAAAGTCTGGTAGCAGAAAGTATGAGGATGCGGCAACACGGACACTGTTCCAGTGGATTAACTAGTCCTGGTTAGATTGAGAATAGGCTCCACCGGTTTTGAAAGGAGGTATTTTAAATCTGAGGAGGCAAGGCACTAGTTACAGAGAGTTGAATGGCAAAAGCTTTCCAATATTCAATTATACTTCTAAAGACATAAGACACACTTTTAGAAGAAAAATATTGCATTTAAGCTCTTCAAGTTTTTGGTCGTTTTAGAGAGTTTGTGATTTTGGAAGACTTTTTACTTTTTCCATTCAAACCACTGGTGCATTTGGTAAAGGGAACAAGCACACAAGGGGTACACTGTAGCTAGTCCTTAAGTGATCAAAGGTTAACAGCTGTTACCGGGAGTGGGGTTGCAGAAGGATGTGTGAGGATTTCCTACTCTGTCTCTCCTGAATGCGTAAACCGTAATCACTTTATCTGAGCCTAATTTATTCAACCCAAACCACTCCTGTAAAATATGACTAGTACAGTAAAATCCCCGAAGTACAATTTAACCTTCTTTGAGGCCATAATTGACTTTACCTTGATTCACCTTCTTCACTCTCTTTTACCTTCCAAAGGTGAGCATTCAACTCCTCCGAAATATTAGAGGCTTAGCCATCATACAGCCTTCACATTTGTAATCTTTCATTCTTATTTTCAGAGAAAAGAGGGGAACGTACACATGCTATGAAATTTCCATTTCAACGGCCACAGAAAATAATAAAAGGAAAACAAAATGTATGAGACTTATTTCTATAGCATGGGATTAGTCTTTGGCAATACAGCAAATTTTCCCTTCAGGGAACTAACTTATTTTTTTAAAGCGGTGGAAAAAGTTTATTAATTTTTTTCCTTACCACATTTCAGAGGTGAGTCCAGGATAACTGGTGTTTATTTCAGGGTACATTTGGTTGTTTCCATGTGCAACCATATTATATAAGGTATTCTGGATTGCTGCTAAAAACCAAGTACAACTATAGACTCTGGTGAGTCATCCTGAGAGTGCCAGTGTTCAAAGTGTATCACTGGCCAAAAGTAGTTTATTGGCATCCTACATTAGGTTTTAACTTCCTGCACTGGTGATTTCAAGGCAGAAGAAACAAATAAAATTCTGCCCTGAAATCACAAGCATTCTACACTGATGCCTTTGAGAGTAGTAACAGCTCAGCCTTTGCTGGGAGCCCAGATAGCCCCACTCTTAGTCAACTGCTTATCTATAATCACCTCCTCTTGCACTTCCTCAGGATTTCATGTTTGCAGAAGAGTCAGTATGTGGGGAATGTCTGTGAAACTCTTAAAAGGCTTCTTTCTCTACAAGTAACTAAATTTGATATTTACGAGCTGAAGGTCATCTTCCTAGAGGACCTGGCCAGTCATTCCAAGAAGTCTGATAGTAATTGAAGCCAATAGGTTTAATTAATCAATACTTATCTTCTAAGGATAGTTCTGCATGTGGGGCATTAGAGTAGACAGTGTTCATCTGGAACTCTTGATGCAAGGGAAGGTTTGTGAATCTAGTGAAGACTATAAGTTGTTATAATAATTAAATCAGATAAAGTCATCTCAATCTTTTCTGTATTTCATGTCAAAAGTACAGAGAAAAGGAGATACAGCCTCCTGGCAGAATCCGAGAGGAAGAGGGCATTTTTGTGTAGGGTTTTATCCTTAATGCCTGTGTTATATTGAACCATATACAGAATCTCGTAATGTATAGGTTATACACACATACACACATATATATATATAATTTTTTTTTTCCTTATTCAGCTTTCTGGTATTTTGCAATACATAACTTCAATCTATTTGCTACTCTTCCATAGAGTCCAAGATGGACTTGAACAGCTCAGTTAAACTCCACTGGCTTAGTTTGGTACCAGTATGTTGTTATGTGCTTCTTCAGGGATGAGTATAGAGAAGATAATAGGTGAGGAACGGAAAAGTGGAGTGGTGGCTGTAGAAGGGGGCCTGTTTTCAGGGTCATGAGGCTTTCAGAGAAGAGCTCTAATTATCTTAATATATCCAAGAAGGAAAATCAAGGGAAACCAAAGAAGGGGACCACGTTGGGGAAACAAATATAGACTATGACTTAACCTAAGATGTTAGCTAACTAGTTTTCTCATTTCCCTAAATATCTGAATAACGTATCATTTATTTGTGTAAGATCTTTGTTAGCATGCTTTATAAATACTAGTTAACTATTAATTCTGTAAAGAGCGACCAGTATTGAACTGAAAAAGATTGGAGAGTAGTTCCTAAGAGCTAAAGGATAATTTTATAAATGAAGCATAGTTCCAAGCTTCAAGCTCTGTAATGCCTCAAAAGAGAGACTTGAGCGTCACACTTTGTAAAAGAGATTTCGTGTTTATGTTCATGCTCTGGAGAGGAGCCACTTGCCTTGAAATCGTTTTGTTCTAACCAAATGGTTCTAACTGCTGTGATGGTCTCATGGTGTGCGAGTACCACCAGGCCCCTGGAACCACGTAGCACAGTCCCCAAGACCAGTAGAAGAATGTTCAACGTACATCTATCAGGAAGTGTTCCCGCTCTTGACCATCGGAAAGTCTACGGATGACTTACTGTTGGTTTCAAGACTCTCACAGAGTTCGCTTTTCACCTCGCCATTTGGTCTGTCATTTCCTTTTTGGATCAGTTTGCTTTGCATGGTGGCAGCTGTCACCACAGCTTTGAAGCTCCTCTTGCGTTTTTGAACATTCTGCTCTGGATGAAAAATTATAATATAAACCTTGGGCATGTAGAGCATGCCCAGAGACACCGAAGCACTTAAACTCATGGAGACAGTAAGTGTTGTTGTCTGGATGTACATCTGAAGAAGGAAAAAAAAACATAGAATCAATGTTGGTAAGCCTGACCTAGGATAAAGCAAATAATATAACGGTTTTCTGAGATTATTCCAGCTTCTCTGCTAACAGTGCATTAGAAGGCACTTATTAAAACTGCCCTTAATTATAGTGAAACGTTCCTTTATCCCCACCTGCAAATGTGGGTAAAGTTGTATTGTTTATGAAGCCCAATTTTTTAAAACAAACAAAAACAAACAAGTAAGCTGATAGAGCTTAGTTTCCTCCTTAGATTATAATTAAGCATATATAAGAAAGGGAGCGAAATCAATCTAGCAAAAGACTAACATTTTATGTCACACAAACCTTATTCAGGGAGGTATCACAAGGTCAAATGTTATTCTTTCAACAGTAAACCTAACCTAGAAGGTAACTTATATATAGTGGAAATAGAGTGGGGGTGAAATAGTCCAGATCATCGCTATTGCACACCATTGCTTGGATAATGCGAGTGTTTGCATCTTCACATAATTACTTAATTCCAGCTTCCAAATTGGATAAATCACAAGCATGCCATAAGGGCTTGATATTTTTTAATAGCCCTCCTAAAGGATAATTCCAGAGGGTTTCTAGATGATTGCATCAGATCAAAATAAATGTGGGTGCTTTTAGAAAATACGTATAAGACTTCCTCCTTCCAAGACTGAAATCTGCCCTTTGGGGATGGGTCCTGACATCTGCATTTTGAAAAATTCTCCCCCTGTGCTCATTCCTTATCCTTATTTCACTGAAATTGACTGCTCTGGTACTTACAAAGAGAAGTCCCTCTGGAAGATTTTTCTTCCTGCAATCTAGAGGTTAATGAACTGAAAAAGTCAAACCTAAAATCACTGCTTTAGCTTTTTTCATTATGTTATGAAAACAAACATGACAGTATTTTAATCTTTTTTCTTCCCCAGTGTTATTGAGGTATAATCAAAGAATAGAAATTGTATATATTTAAGGTTTTATCAAAACTTGATGTTTTGATAAACATATATTATGAAATGATCATCTCAATCAAGTTAATTAACATATCCATCACATAGTAACCATTTTATTTCTTTCATTATTTTATTTTATTCTTTTGTGGTGAGAATGCTTGAGATCTCTCTTCACAAATTTCAAGTAAACAATACATTATTGTTAACTGTAGTCACATATTCATCTTGCATAACTGGAAGTTTGTACCTTTTGACCAATATCTCCCCAGTTCCCCTTTCCCCTGCCCCTGGTAACCACTATTCTGCTCTCTGCTTCTATGGGTCTGCTTCTAGATTCCACACATAAGTAAGATCATGCAGTATTTGTCTTTCTGTATCTGACTAATTTCACTTAGTATAATGTCCTCCAGGTTCATCCATGTTGTCACAAATGGCAGGATTTCCTTCTTTTTTTTTTAAAGAGTCAATAATATTCCATTGTATGAATATTTCACCTCTTTAAAAATAAAACCTTTGATCTGTTTACATTTTTCATGTCCTGAGCTGAAAATATAATTTCTCCCAAATAACTTGGAATACTGAGGTTACAAGGTAGCCATGTTTTAAGATGATGAAGAGATCCCTTTATCATCTCCATGATTTTTTTTCTGGCTTCTTTTGCTCAGCATAGTGGGGCTTTTTTTGTTTGTTTTTTTTAAACATCTTTATTGGAGTATAATTGCTTTACAATGGTGTGTTAGTTTCTGCTTTACAACAAAATGAATCAGTTATATATGTACATATGTTCCCATATCTCTTCCCTCTTGCGTCTCCCTCCCCCCCACCCTCCCTATCCCACCCCTCCAGGCGATCACAAAGCACGGAGCTGATCTCCCTGTGCTATGCGGCTGCTTCCCACTAGCGATCTACCTTACGTTTGTTAGTGTATATATGTCCATGCCACTCTCTCACTTTGTCACAGCTCACCCTTCCCCCTCCCCATATCCTCAAGTCCATTCTCTAGTAGGTCTGTGTCTTTATTCCTGTCTTACCCCTAGGTTCTTCATGACATTTTTTTTTCTTAAATTCCATATATATGTGTTAGCGTACGGTATTTGTCTCTCTCTTTCTGACTTACTTCACTCTGTCTGACAAACTCTAGGTCTATCCACCTCATTACAAATAGCTGAATTTCGTTTCTTTTTATGGCTGAGTAATATTCCATTGTATATATGTGCCACATCCTCTTTATCCATTCATCCGATGATGGACACTTAGGTTGTTTCCATCTCCAGGCTATTGTAAATAGAGCTGCAATGAACATTTTGGTACATGACTCTTTTGGAATTATGGTTTTCTCAGGGTATATGCCCAGTAGTGGGATTGCTGGGTCATATGGTAGTTCTATTTGTAGTTTGTTAAGGAACCTCCATACTGTTCTCCATAGTGGCTGTATCAATTTACATTCCCACCAACAGTGCAAGAGGGTTCCCTTTTCTCCACACCCTCTCCAGCATTTATTGTTTCTACGTTAATGTCTGTTCATTCTAATGATACCTCTGAAAATGTAAAGTTGTCAGATTGCATCCAGCAATCCCCAAATTAATTGTGTCCTTTTTAATAAAGACTCAAAATATATTTACCTTCAAGAGTAAATACCTGAATCAGCCTTATGGCTTCCTTTTCCTAGGGGAGACTGTTTCTCTTAACAGATGACAAAGCCTTGAGGTGAGAAACTGTCTGAAACATGAAGAGAACTTCAGGCACTAGTAAAAAGACTGTCCTTGTCTGAAAAATCATATCCTGTGGATTACTGAGTTTACTGTTCAATTTATCTACCACTAAGGCTGTCCTTTGCTTAAGACCCTATCGTGAGTATGGGAACACCCTTCAACAAGGTGATATTTAGGATCGATTTGTTTCAAAGTTCACTTCCTTCAGGAAGTCCTCCATGATAAATCCTGATTATAATGTCCTTATTTTACTTCTAAGCACTAGTGCATTAAAAAATAAATACAATGGAGCACTTGCTAATGTATAACTATGTGATTATAACAATTTATATGAACTTTGTAATAATCCATAAAAAATGCACAACCAGGGTATAAGCTTCCCTAGCGTCTATAATCTACATTTCTTCTTATATACCTCTAAGAAATCACACAATAATTACTCAGATACCACTCATTATTTTTAAGTATATGAAGATCTTCAAGAAACCCTTAATTTACACAAATCATACAGAATATGCTTTCCATAATTTTCCACTCTGTCAAATGGACATCAGGGTTGATGACATTTTAAGTAAGAAACACAAAGAGATGAGGTATGAATCCAGATTCTAGGTTGGGCTCATGCGTACCATCCTCAGTAGAGACGTGATTCAGATACATCCCTCGGCAAAGTGATAAATGACTACACGCCATGACTTCTCAGGCTACCTGCCAACGAGTGAAAACTCATGTTAAATTTGAGAGAACTAATCTACTGCAATTAAGAAGGTCCTGATAAAATGTGAATATGTGCCTTTAAACCACACGAACCTCCCTAAGCTTTGCCACCTAGTTTTAAGCAACTTATTATTATGAATACTCATAAGCTTCTTATACAATAGTTAATCCTCTTTGAATTCCTACTTATTCTCCGGCTAGCATTGCTGCAGAAAGGCTATGCAGAAAATGGGCTGCAGAGAAAGGATGTAATGATAAGGAAAGGATAGAGCCAAATGCAAACCACACATAAATATTCCAAAGCCACTCAAACAGGGAACCATCAGTTTTGTCCCAGTCAGACCCAGCCAAGTCAGTTTAACTTAAAAAACAAACAAAAACCAAACAAGGGCTTCACTGGTGGCGCAGTGGTTGAGAGTCCGCCTGCCGATGCAGGGGACACGGGTTCGTGCCCCGGTCCAGGAAGATCCCACATGCCGCGGAGCAGCTGTGCCCATGAGCCACGGCCGCTGAGCCTGCGCGTCCGGAGCCTGTGCTCCGCAACGGGAGAGGCCACAGCAGTGAGAGGCCCGTGTACTGCAAAAAAAAAAAAAAAAAAAAAAAAACCCTCCAGAGGTATAGCCATGAAATGATGGGAACATCCATATTGATTAGTTGGATTCTTTTTATATGTCTTAACCTGTTGGTCTTGCTAAAACATATAATACTAGTCCAAATAATTCATAAATACCTTTCTAGTTTGAAAATCTTATAAATTTTATCCACTACCATAAATGTAAGTGATAATTTTCTCCCGTTATTCAGAATAATTTCTGTAATATATAGTAAACTTGATTTTGTTAAATATTAAGCATGAAGAAGATTCTGGAATGCTAGTTTCTACATTAAATATATTACTGTAGTCTATCCTCTTAGCAAGCCAACTCAAAAGAAGATGTAATAAACATAGACATTAGGATTAAACAGTACTATGCTTAGTGTTCCAAGCCCTCCATTAGACACTGTGATTGCAAATTACAGATCTTATGTGCTCTCTTACAACAGCTTCTGAAAAATTTTAATGTGGGTTTAATATATAAAAAGCATCTATACAAAAATCATACCCTAAAATCTAAAACCTTACAGTGGCCAAGGCTTTGTTACAGGACTTCAGACTGTGAGTAGACTGAGTTTTTGAACTTCCTCTTTGAATATTTAATGAAATTAAAATGTCGTATATATTATAACCTCAATGAAAGCAGTAAGAGCAAAATAAGCAAAGAAATGAAATGCCACCTACTGTCCTTCTAGAGAAGTTAATTTCTTAGCATCATGGATTACAGGATTTTCAGTATCTCCCATATTTAAGAAGAAATGGAAAGATCATATTAAAAGATTGAAAATGAGCACTTGTTTCCAAAAAACTCGTGGATTTTTTTTTTATACCTGTTGAATATTCTAATTACTTGAACCATGTAAGGAAGAAACATGTTCAAGCAGACCTGAGCTTGAATTCCAGCACCGCCACTTAAAATTCTTTTTAAAGATAAAGAAGTTTACAGAGAGATTCTGGAGTTGCCTTGTGGATGGTAAAAGCCCCTAGTCGACCCACCAGGTGACAATCTGAACTCTAAT